GCGGGAATAAAAAATGACAAAAAATAATTTTTTTTTTGCGGGATACGTCGGGTCGGGCATAAACAAAGCTTATTTTTAAGTTGTAAAGCCACGTGAAATCGCACGTGGCGAATTTTATTCGGTACCGCATGTAGGAGTTCATGTGGTGCACGTACGGAATAAAAATTTGTGCACCGGTGGCCAACTGATCTCCATGATCATTAAGACCCCACAATTTTTTTCCCATTGAGCAACAGTGGTAGTCATCTCGATACCGGACATCCTGCGGATGATCCCCGACGCGACCCCTCGCCACCCCTCCGCCGCCGTGATTCTCTACAATATCTGCACCGCCGTAAATCTCTTGCGCCAGGCCAACACCGTGCCGGTTCTCGGCGTGCTCAACATCAGGGATCGAGGGATGGCTTCCTCCGACCCATCTCTCAATCCGATCTTCGCCGTCCTCGTTCTCCATTGATTCATCGCCGCTGCAGCTCTCCTCCGCCGTCGCATTCTCGATCTCGGAGGTTTCGCGTGGCCCGGGTATTTTTCTAAGATTTTGAAAGAAACCCTAAATTCTTATCTTGATGCATTGCCAGTGTCGTTTGGGAGTCTTTGTATTGGTTTTCCTGTGTTATGGAATCTTTGTTCTTTGTCCAGCTTGCTGTATCTGGCGCCGATTAGGGATTTTGGCGGTTTCTACAATGTAGGATGCAGCCATTACCAAAAAGTTTTGTAATTAAATTTATCGAGCGAAACATATATATATATATATATATATATATATAAATGAAAAAAAAAAACTTAGGGGGTGTTTGGCTGCAGAGAAATTATTCCTTGTGTGTGGAGTCCAAAATTACTAATGTACCCAATAAAGGCTGCCTTTCCTTAAATTCTGCCACTTTGAGGCTTGAGAAAGAAGTTGCTGAGAGTTAGAGACTTGTATCTTCCATAAATTTTCTTATGGTTATTTAAAGTAATACTTTTTTTTTCTTGTTTTAATGAATAGCTAGGGTTGTAAATGAACCATTGAACTTAATGAACAGTTCTGACTCGGCTCGATTAAGACTAGATTATGTTCGTTCAAATTAGTAAATAAAAAAGGTCGAACAATTTTTAAAGCTCGAAGCTTAAATGAACTAGATATAAACATAATCGAACTTGTTCATTTATGTTCACGAGCAAACTCGTTTGTTGCTCAATAAGTATTTTATTAAATACTTGGTATTAAGCTCGATTAAAATGGCGTCTGGGGTAGTGTGAATCAAGCGGCATCTGGTAGTCGCAACTCGTGATTTGGGGTTCTGGGGTGAAATCCAAGGGTACAAATTCTTCTCTCTTGCAATTCTAAGCTTTCATTTCATTCCTCGCCCTTTGGTCTTGACTTTTGCCTCATTTTTTGTGTATTTTTCTTTTCCAATAGCCTTAAGAGGCGTCAATTGTGTGTCGAAAGTGTCCAAAGTCTTTTGTGAGCTTCCATAAGAGTTCCAACACAACGTCAGCGTGATAGAGGTGTAGTTAGAGGTGATAGAAAGTAAATTTGACAGTTTCGGAAAGACTGATTTGTGCCGAGAAGCCTATTTTGAGGTAAGAATGTTACTTTTTGGGTGTAATTATTTTATGAGCAAAAAATATGTAAAATGCTAAGATCATTACAAATTTCGGGTTGTTTACTTGAGGCGGAAAGTTCGAGACAAGTGTGTAGAATATTGTCGTAGTACAACTCCATTAATTTCAAGTAACATAACCCTATGCTAATTCAGAAAGAATAATTCAATTTACGGAAATAATTTGAATATTAAAGCTTAATATTATGTTTTATAGATTATTGAGCTCAATATAAAAGTTACTGTAATGTCCAGTCAGTTACTGAAGATCAAGAATCTAGTGTAACAACCGAGGTGAGTAATTATATTCCTAAATTTCAATAATCTTTTTTTTTTCAAATATATATATATATATATATATATATATATGCTTTAGTCGAGTTATATTTATATGATAGTAAATTCTTCTTATTGTTAGATGAAAAACTTATGTATGATGGAAAAGTTATTGCAGATGTGCATGCATGAAAGATGTGCATGAGATGAATGATATTTTGATAGACATTATATGTAAGATAGACATTTAAGATAAACATGTAAGAAAAATATGCATGATACGTAAGACATGATAGGAAAGATACACATGATAAACGCGATGTAGAATGATATGCATAATATACATAAGAGATATACATGAGATAAAGAAGAATGATTGTCATGAGAGATGTGCATGAAATACTCACACAACATAATAAGTATGCATGTTAGTAAGTGCATAAAAATATCTAAGAATAATGTATGTTATGAAAAATGAAATAACTTATATATGAATGCTTGTATATGTTTGTTCAGATGAGGATTCGACCCCCTAATGGTATATGCAGGGGATGCCAGTGTACCACGAGCGTAGATTTTTTCTACCACCCTGGACAATTATGATAGTTAGTTTGATAATCTCTGTGCCAATGGGTTAATATCAACCAGAGGCGAGTAGAACTGAGCTTTTCTCCCTAGACAATTGTAATATTTACATTACTAACAACTATGCTAACAAAATAATATTGGTTAATAGTAGGTAAGGGTCTTTTCACCCTAGACAATTGCAAAGTGTAGATCGTTAACCGCTATGCCGACGGGGTAATATCAGTCAAGGTTGGGTTAGGTTTTGTTGACGGTAGTCCTTACAGAAACAAATATGTATGTAAAAAATATAAAGTAAAAGTACGGTTAAAGTAAATGTTTATTGAAAAATTGTTAGGATATTAGGTTGTAAATCTATTATGGGGACAATAACTTATTGAAAAAATGTTATGTATATTATGAATATTTTTTATCAAAAAAGTCAGACAACAATTTTCTTTTAACCACATTATAGGATATTAGGTTGCGAAATTGACTTCTCGTCGTAAAAATTTTGAAAATACAATAAGAAGTCAATAACCAAAAAAAGTTGTGGTAAAGATCTAATATGCAAAGCATCCAGAAAACGATCCTAACTAGCCCCCAAGTCCCTTGTTATAATTGCACTTGCCATCCAAGCCGCATGCTCCGATGATGGTCCTAAATGAAAATTTTAACTAGTGGGGCCTCTATTTTCAAAATTCTCATAAATTTGGAACAAATTATTTAGGCATAGATTTTAATAAATATAAAAATTTGTAGCCTCCGGTCTTCATTGCCATCGACCAACGTCTACCAGCCATCATCGACCAACATCAACGCCCCTCTGTTCGGCGCCATCTAGAAACTCTGTTTCATAATGACGTATCCCAAAATACTATGGAATGAAGTATCATGGTGTAACAAGTATCATGAATATGGTGCAAAACAGAGTATCCCAAATACTATATAACATATAACACACATTACAGATATGACGACAACTCAACTCCCAATGACAACTATTGAAGACTATTTATAACATTATACTTAAAACACGACGACTTTTTTTCAGATTTTTGAAGTTCTATGTACATTGTGCATGGATAAGTATTGCACTTAGTATAATGTTATAACTCTTCATTCCCAATTTTATAACAATGATGTATCTTTATAATTACACACTTATAATTAATTACTTTGATTGCGCTAGACCTAGTGATTTTTTTTTCCGTTTACTAGTTTTTCTATAAAAAAAATCTTGTCGTCTTCTTCTGCTATATTCAAATTATTTGTGTATGATTTATCTTTTTAGAACGATAAATCTTTTTTCTATCATTCTGTCACCGTGAATCTTTCAACGTACAATAGGAATTATTCAATATATTTCCAATTCATCTGATTATGCTTATGAGCACACCTAGTCAACCTTCTCAAAATATTTTAATCTTTTTAGCTAAATGAATTTCAACATTATTCCTTTTTAACAAATGTCTTCAGAAAATAAGCAAGTCATGGAATTCATTTGAACCTTGAAAGAGTCGCTCGCTCTCGAAGCTTTCATGAGTATGCTCTCTCTCTTTCGTCTTCTTTCCTCCTCGCACCTCGTACCTAAAACCCTAAATGCTCGAGTCCACCCCATCTTCAAGCTACTCCACCGTTCCATGGGAGTCTCTAGCCTCAAGGTGGCCTGGCGCAAGGACCCCATGCTAGACGCGGCCATCGAGCGCGACAAGGGCTTCCGTCTCTGCTCTCGAGTCATTCGTGAGGTCCTCAACGAACCTGGTCACCGGATCCCTCTCCGATACCTTGAGAAGCGCCGCGAGCGCCTTGACCTTCCCATCCGCACGAGGACCTTCCTCTCACGCTATCCCAACCTCCTCGAGCTCTACGACGATCGCATCAAGCCCTCTTCTCCTCCCGTACCCTTCCTCCGTCCCTCCCCACGCTTACTCTCCTTCCTCTCCCTGCAGTCCTCCATCTCCTCTCGCCTCGAACCTCTCGTTCTTTCGAAGCTCTGCAAGCTTCTCATGATGTCCCGCCACCGGGTCCTCCCTGCTCACAAGCTTCTTTCTGTCAAGCGCGACTTTGGCTTCCCGGACGACTTCCTTGTTTCACTTGTTCCTCGACATGCCCATCTCCTCCGTCTAGTTGGATCCAGCGGACACCACCTTGAGTTAGTGTCTTGGCCGGAAGAGCACGCTAGATCGACCATCGAGCTCCGCACAGAAGAAGAATCCCGCGTCACAGGGGTTCGAATGCGGCCTAATTTCTCCATCCGCCTTCCCAAGGGGTTCTACCTCCGTCGTGAAATGCGGGAGTGGACACGGGATTGGCTTGAAATGCCCTACATCTCACCTTACGAGGATGCCTCAAAGCTGCACCCGGCCTCACCGGAGATGGAGAAGAGGAATGTGGCGGTGCTCCATGAGCTTCTCTCTCTATCAGTGACAAGGCGGATGGCCGTGCCAGTGGTGGGTAAGTTCTGCGAGGAGTACCGCTTCTCCAATGAATTTGGCAATACGTTCACCAGACACCCCGGGATCTTCTATGTATCCCTGAAAGGCGGGATCAAGACTGCAATGCTCAGGGAAGCTTATGATGAGCATGGGGAGCTGGTGGACAGGGATCCCTACCTGGAGATTAAGGATAAGTTTGTGGAGATGATGGAGGAAGGGCACAGGGAGTGGAAGGAGATGATAAAGGCAAAAAGGGAGGCTGTTCAGAAGGATTTGGAGCTGATGGCGAGGAAGAATGCGGAGCTGTCTGTTGGCGAATATGAGACTTGTATCGTTGATGAAGATCAACGACATTCTGATCATGCAATGGCGGACATTCCAACGTGTTGAGTATTTTGATTTTCATTTCCATTTTCATTATTTCTATGCTTCATTTTTCACTTCATGTGGATAAGATTGAAGGGTTGCTTAGTTATCTGCTTCATATTATCATCTCAGATAAAATTGACAAAATTAACAGTTTCGGTTTTCTTGCATGTCTTATTGCTTTTCAATCTTCAAAGTTTTTTTAAGTATTAGGACCATTAATCCTCTTCCACAAAAAGTGGTTATTTGACACTTAATTTTAATGAACGAAAACCTTCTATATAAAAATCTTTATTAACCATCCCATTCAGATAGGTAATACTAATTAGCAATATGTGTGCTTCTTTTGGACTAAAATCATACACATAGAATGCTTTTAAACTATTATTGTAGCATTACTTGTATTTCATCTCACTCCCTTTAGTTCTTAATCTATATTCAAGTGTTTTATAAATTTCCTTTCCTTTTGCTTTTGCTTTCCATCTGTGAAAATGATTATTTAAAAGGGAAAAAGCGAAGGAATGATGATTAAATTTCTTACATTATGATCTAGATGTTATTAGGTTCAAATCATGAAGTAATAACCTTTTAATGTAAATGTCTTTTGATGTATATCACTCTTATCCAACACTTGTTATCGATGACAATCTTCTCCATTGTGACCATTTTTTTCCATGGTGGTGCTTGAGGCATCTATTGAAGGTAAAGATGTGAAAATAAGTTTGAGTGACTTGAAATGTATGAGATTAGTTTGTGAAGCAATGAGGTAGCGGTATGAAATTAGTATTGATTGGTAAATATGTAATTAAATTTCATTTTTCCAAGTTTTACACCCGTAGAAAATCTTGATCCCTTAGAATTATAGTAAACTTGTACCATCAATATGGGGAAATATTTGGAAAATAAAAAGGAATTTGACTCATAGAAGTACTCTTCCTGTATATATATATATATATATATTGAGGCTTCTATAATAATCTTAATGTTATGATATTGCACAACAGGATCTTTGTATTTGTGGTAGATCAGTTTGTAAACAGTCATGGCTTATAAACAAGCAAAGTGAACTCAATTAATTTACAGACAGAAACTATCATTTTGGAGTCCCACAATGTTCAATTTGATTAGACGATTAGAAGGTAAGATTGATTTAGTAATAGTGCTTCAATTGACTTAGTTTTTTTTTTTTTTTTTATGGAATAAATGTTTTCAAGTAAAGCAATGTTAAAATAGAACCTTTACAGACATTTTAATTTTTTCTGAAATACTTTATGTAAAATAAAATTAATGTTAAAGACACTTTTGATGTATCATAACATCTTTAGCCCTTTGTTTTACCTATGCAATACATGCCTGTAAATTGGTTCAATTTTTTATACTTTAGGTTATTTAATTTATCACCCTTTTTATTATCAATCTTTTCCCACCCTAATGAAGATAGCATGGGCTCAAAGAAGGTAGCCATTTGAGACTACATTGGTGATCACATTGATGGTCATGCTAACAATCCATCTCAGTTACAAATATAATGCCTTATTTATTTATTTTTATTCTTATAATTATAATGCCTGCTTAATTCTATCCATCCCTCTCTTTATGATGCACTCATTACACTTCTTAAAGTAGGCGTCATGCTTTTGTTCATGTCTGGTTTGTTTTCTTTGCACCATGCCTCCTGGAATTTGGTAGCTCCCATGGAAAGGTAGAATAGACTGGAGATGGCATTGATTCCATGGTTTAGGGATTTGAGTGGGAGATTTAGGGAGGAAAGAGCATGCTGCTGGAATCTTAGCAGTAGAGTCTTGGCATCTATAAGAGAGATCAAATGCATGAAGTTGAAAGGAGAAATTATCTTTCAAGTTCATTAAGTTAATATACTTTCATTTTTATTTTTAGATAAAAATATAATAATGATTCATCATAAAGGCATCAAGTAGAAATGATAAGTTCTTTATGTCAATATGTTTTGGCAAGTAATTTTATATTAAAAAAATTAGAATTTTTTGTGTGTATTCTTTTAAATGGCAGAAGTTTTAATCTAGAAAAAGGAGACACTTGGTTTGATGAGAAATAAAATTACTTCTAAAAGAGTGAAAGTAGACGAAACTTGTAAATGTTTATTTTATTTGGGATTCTTAATTAAAAAAAAAAATTAAAGGTTTTATGGCTAGTTATATTTTCATTATTGTTTAGAACTATTAAAATTTTATGATAAGCTACTTTACAACTAACCTTTAGGAGGAATTAGAGATCCTTTTTTGATAGAATTATATGAAAATACTCAACAACTTGACTGGGTTCTCATCCTTTGTTGGAAGAAGCCTATAGAACTTGTTTTGACACTAGGGGAAGATTAATTCAATAGTGCTTTCTTCTAAATTTAGGGGTTAAATATGTAAATACATTGGGATTGGGTGGTATGCATGTAAATGCTCCCTTTCTTCTAAATTGAGTTCAGATGGCTGAGTTGCTCTCTTTTTCTTGCAAGTGGTAACGACTAATTTTAAATTTGAATTACTTCAATTTAATTTAATTGTCCAGTTGATCTAAAAAATGGAAAAAATATATATATATATTCTTTCACAAAGTTTTGCTGATTATTCGAATTAATTGGACCAAAAAAATAAATTAAAATTCCTAGAAAACTCTTATTTGGACCTAGTAAATAAAAAAAAGGGACATTTACGTACATACTACAAAGTTCTCATTGTTTAGATCAGAAATTTTATTATCATTATTTTTAATAATCATTTCGACAATTAAAATAAATTGAATAAATTTAAATTAAAAAATTAGCCTTTACCACTTGCAACAAGAATAAAATAAAATAAAAAGCTGCTAATGTAAATTTTCTCATGCCAAAAGTTTGGTAGGCTATATGTAAAAATTAAAGTTTAGATGTTAGATATGTAAACACATAAGAACCAAGAAATATGTAAAAATTAAAGTTTAGATGTTAGGCATGTAAATGCATAGGAATCAAGTAATGTTTAAGTAATTCTTGAAAAAAAAAACAAAAGGAAAAGAAGGCTGAAAGAGGCAATGGGAAAAATAGTAAAAACTCTGCTTAACCACTTTAAAGAAATAAATGAAGACCGCTTGACAGTTGTTAGAGAAAAAAAAAAGAAGGAAAAAAAAAACAGCCCTTACATTGCTTGGTGCCATGTTGGTGTGCAGTCACCTGAAATTCGGGCGACTTTGGTTGATTACAGGAAATTTAAATTTGTATTAATGTAGTTTGTCCTCTTGGAGCTTATTGTAGCGTTCAACTGATATAGAAATTGGCTTACTCGATTCCATTCTAAACATGGAGGCAAGCTTAGCCATCTAGTTGTGTAGAGAAGGGACGCTTTGATGGATATGTAATTGAATTACTCCTGTGAAGTTTTGGTGTGGCCATTCTAGTTGAGATGTTGATCACTTAACCGAGAAGTGATTTGGTCAAGTATTTTTAATTGAGAAACCCAAGTTTTATATTCTTTTAGGTCTCAACTACTTTCTTGTTAAATTAAACCTCATTTGGCTCAACCAAATTAATCTGTGCTTAGTGACTTCTGTTTCTTTTCTACCATGGCTATATAAGTGATTAATTCCTTGAAAGTGGAAGGCTTATTGACTTAATTTAGTTTCCATATTTTAAAGCCGACTCATGTAAGCAATGTTCCTCCCTTATGATCTCTCTTTGGGTGGACTTTGACCGTTCTCCCTCTCTGTCAACTCATTTCTCATTTAGTTGACTTTACCTCTCTTAGCAATCTTTGATGGCTTATATAACAGATTAACCTTCTCTTAATGAATCAAATAACTTGAGGCAAGTGATCGCCATCATCATCAACTCATCATGAAGCCTTCGTTCTTCCACAATCCAATTACTTAGTACCGAACCAACTGTTCTTCAAATTTACAAGATATATGATCACCACCATCACCTAACATTAAACATGAAATAAATAAAAATAAAATTTTGAGGTCTTACCACGTTCCATGACTCTAATTGTTTCTCCACACAATCCTAGGCCTACCATCCATCCATCATTCGCCCATTGAGCCAAACTAATTAAAACTCGTGCACCATCTAATGTTACCTAAAAATCATATCTTCAATAGCCATTATAATTCGTCATATATATCTTTTAACATACTCTCTGAATGCGTTTGTATCACAATCAACACATACTATTCCCCCTATTAACGTACCTAGCATTTTTTTTTTTTTTGGCAGCATGCTTAGGTTACCATGGCGCCCTTTGCATCAATATCTAGTACTATATTTATTGTTTTGATGGATTCTATCACATAATTGTAATCAATGTTTGGAAATTATTACTCCCAATATTTATAACCCCCTGAAGCTTATCCAGTGTTGGATGCCTTGTCATCAAACCAAATATCTGCTTGAATTTAAGAAGGAAACATTCGAGTAAGGATCTTAGGTATGAGCTAAAAAAATGGAAATTTTTGAATATAGGCAATTTGTACGAGTAAACTTTTGGAGTTAATACTAAGAATTATTTTTTTCTCTCAAATGTATTTGAATCCAGTAAACTTCCTTAGTTCACTTTGTCCCGTAGAAGATTGCATTGCAAAAAGTTATCTTTTTACAAGTAGTTTGTGATGCAGTTTATATTCATCCTTGATGAGATATCATGCGATTATTATCATTTTATTTTTGTTAATTTCCTTTTTTATGCTAGTGTACTAGACCTTTAAATTTGGTTATGTGCTTGCTTGAAATACAATGGAAAATCTGATTTATGAAAGTGTAAACACATTGGATAGAATGTATTCAAATCCTCTCCAATTATCTTAGTACGTGGAAAGTGGCTGGCATTCAGTTCAGTTCGAAAAGGTAGTTTTATTAAAGCTATTTTTACTACTTGTTTATTTGCATGAACTGATTTCTGTGAATGCGTTTTGATGTTATAGGTGAAATGAATTTTATTTTTTTTGCTAGCGTGCCATTAACTATATGTCATTTTATTATTATTGTTGAAGGTAAAGTTGTAACATATCTTTCCATTAACTCTATGTGCTTTATTATTATTATTATTATTATTATTATTATTATTGTTACTACTATTACTATTACTACTAGTAGTAGTAGTAGTACTACTACTATTAATATTACCACTACTACTACTATTACTAATACTACTACTACTATTACTATTGTTATTACTATTACTATTACTACTACTGCTGCTGCTATTAATATTACTACTACTATTACTATTTCGACTACTACTATTTCTACTACTACTACTATTACTACTACTATTACTACTATTATTATTACTACTATTATTACTCCTATTATTTCTACTATTACTACTACTATTATTACTACTACTTTTACTATTACTACTATTACTACTATTACTACTACTATTATTATCACTACTACTACTTCTACTACTATTACTATTATTATTTGTACTACTACTATTTCTACTACTACTACTATTACTATTACTACTATTACTATTACTATTATTTCTACTATTACTACTACTACATTACTATTGCTACTATTACTACTATTACTATTACTACTATTACTACGATTTCTACTACTATTACTACTAATATTATTACTACTACTACTATTACTACTATTGCTATTACTATTATTATTACTATTACTACTACTACTGCTATTACTACTACTACTACTACTACTATTTCTACTACTACTATTTCTACTATTACCACTATTGCTATTAGTATTACTATTACTACTATTACTATTTCTACTACTACTATTACTATTTCTACTACTATTTATGCTACTATTATTACTATTACTATTACTACTATTATTACTCTTACTCTTACTCTTACTCTTACTCTTACTCTTACTATTACTATTACTACATTATTATTATTATTATTATTATTATTATTATTATTATTATTATTATTATTATTACTATTATTATTACTACTACTACTATAAACTCTGATTGTTAAAATATCACAAATCTCTAGGCCCATTCAATGCTATTGATCTTTAGCCAGTCGAACTTGAGTTCTATCTTGTGCTAGTGTACTTGGCTATACATATTGTGCTTTTAATTGTTTGGCATTTTCTAACCCTCGTTTTGAAAAACTGAATTTCAATCTTGCTGTTGCAGGAGAGCTGCATCTGGTTATCATCTAATGTTCCTAGAAGAAGCAAAATCAGAACTGGAAGTAGGCAAAAAGCCCAAACTATTAAACTACGAATAAGTTTCTGAGAAAGAAAAATGGAAAATGAAGGAATTGAAGAGATAGAAAGAGAAAGTATCATCAAAGGATATTCAATTCATCTTTTGTCGCGCTCAGAAAATTTAAATTTTGATGCCCGTTAACTAGGAACTTGTCAGCAAGAGCCAGTCTGGGAGAAGCAACTCCAAAGTCTACAGCAATGCCTGGAGATAAATTGCTATCTTCAATCAATGTAAGGCCCTTACATTTACATACAAACTACCCTGAATCTTTACAACAACAACAACAACAACAAAGCCTTAATCCCACTACGTGGGGTCGGCTACATGAATCCTTTTTCTCCATTGCGTCCTATTTAGTGTCATATTTTCATTTAGTTCTAGTAAATTAAAATATTTACTACCATGGCATAAAAAATTCCACAAGCACTATCTTCTTAAAAGTGGAATGCACCTTTTCATGCATGGGTTTATTATGATTATAAGTGTAAATATTAAACCTTTTGGGCGTTAGATATGTAACATTAGAATTGTGTGGTTATGTATGTAAATTCCCTTTATTGACAGCTTACTTTGTTGGGTAAGTAACTGCCATTGATCGAAAGGATTTGTTTTGCCTTGTTTACCTGATTAATCTTCTATTTAGATTGTCACGAGGCTAATTGTTATTGTGATGGTAATTTTGATTGATGATTTTATCATTGGAGATTTGCTTCTAGCAGGTTTTCAGATTTAGATCTGTTCAAATTTGTTGCTCGGATAAGATCTTAAATCAATTTCGGACTTGTGAAAATTTTGTTTTAGGCGTACGAAAGGTGGAGGTGAATGCTGTGCAATAGTGCGAAAAAAATATTTGAATTAAATGTTTAAATGCTGTAGCATATATGTATTTCTGTGCTATTTTGAATGGAAATAATATGGAAGAACATGTGTATATTTTCACTTATTTTAAAAATTTAGCTGTTAATAATATGTACATGCATGATAGATAGATTGTGTTTATATATATAAAAACTTCGAAACGAAATTGTGTCAAAATAGGCCCTTTAGTTTCTGATATTCTAAACGCAGCAATAATTTCACATGACAAGTTATGGCTAACTTCATTCAATGACATCTGACGAACAACTTTTTTTAGATCATTTTACAAATAAGAAGCTCGCACACCATTCATCATTTATTCCCATTTTTTTAGCAATGATGATGAAACGTTTCAGTAACATCCAATCTCAAAAACACAGGAATTGTTGGTTTGAGGCACTACATGCGTGACCATGAAGTCTCTGGAGATGATGAACCAGCCAAGCTCTGCACAAAATTAACTTCTGGTCAGTAAAACAACCGAATGGCATAGCTTGATAAAAATTTGGGAAAGTTACATACGCATCGAATAATTCTTATTTGATGAACCAGCCAAGCTCTGCACAAAATTAACTTCCGGTCAGTAAAACAACCGAATGGCATGGCTAGATAAAAATTGTGAAAAGTTGCATACACACCAAACAATTCTTATGTATTTACATATCTAACACCCTAAATTTGATATTTACATTTATTATATATTAGTGTTAAGCTTATGCATGAAAATGTGTATTTTCACTGATGTTTTTAATGTGATGTTAAAAATTTGAGTGGTAAGTAAACGCCTCTAAAAGTTTTCAAGCTTTAAATTGAGGATGTTAAAAATGAATAGTAAATTAAGAATATCTCAATTCTATGTTACAATAGATTATTTAAATAATTAAAATAAATTAAGAGCAAGAATGCCATTAAATGGTAAAATTAATTTATAATTTAAAATAAATTAACAAGAAATGTTAAATTTGAATGTAAATATTTTTTTATTAAAGAAGAGGTGATAGAACATAAAGAAAGAACTTTTTGAGTTTGAGCCGAGTACTTATGTTTTTGCATTACAGTAATGTTTCTTACTTCCTGATTATATTCTTTATTTTAATTTTTCACAGTTATGCTTTAGTTTATTGAGACTTAGACTACCAATAATGTCTTCATATTATTAGGTTAGCAATTTGAATGTATTAACCATTCTGCATAAATAATTGCATAATGATTTATCAGTGAAGTTATTAGATTATTGTATGCCCTTTAAATCCTAATAGATGTGTATTTATTCATTAGTAAATGAATGCAAAGTGTCACATAAAAAATTAATTTATGCTATGATATATAAATGAATGTTTGTATGTGTTTGTTAAGAAGAGTTTACCCCATTATGATACTAGTTGGGGATGTCAATGTGCCCATAAATGTACATATTTTCTTACCATATCAGATAGCTGTAAAATATAGATCATTAATCACTTTGCCAACATAAAAGTATCGATCAAGGGCAAGTAAGCACCCTACCATCTCAGATAACTATAAAATTTAAATAACTAACTATTATGCCGACGGAAGAGTGTCGGCCCTACTCATCATTGGGGCAGAAGGAAAACAACAAATTTGTTGGGGCGCGACAGTGACTACCTCCACCTGATTCCCTTACACAACTCTCCCCCTCCCTGTTTTCTGCTTCCAGCCGCCGGTCTCTTCCTCCTCTACCTATTTTTTGCTTCCAGCCGATAGTCTCTCTTCTCCATCTTTGATTCCTACTTCTTGTGTTGTAGTAAACCCCACCTGCAACCTTCCATCTTGTTGTCGCCCCCTCCCCTACTTCCAACAGAGCCACATACTCTTGTTGCTCTGCCCTTTGGTCGCAGGACCTTTCTTGCACCACCCTCGTGACAGCCAGCCCCTCCTCTCACCACTGTCGAAGGGATATCCCCTTCGACAATAGTGGGACATTGGTATTTTGTTGGTATTTTTGGTTCTTCGAGTTTTGATTGTAATTTGTTGTTTGGAGTAATAACATTTATTTTTCTATCAGAAAATTGATTTCGGGTATCATCTGTTGCAAAAGAAGTTGTTAAAGAAGTTGCAGTGACTTTTTCAAATTTTTTTTTATTTTCAAATATTCAAATCATAACTTTTTGGCAGACACAACACTTTAGCCAAGTCAAGGTATAAAATGCAACTTTCCCGCCACAACTACTTAAGAAAATAGGCAAAATGCATTTTTGCCAAACGCATAAGCGGTGCAGTGTAGAGCACACATCACCTCTAACACCGCCTCAATGAGCCCTTAAAAGATGTGTTGGTCAGTGTCGTGAGACATTGCGGTCAAGAAACAAAAAGTCTTCTAATCCACTGGTCTTAAAAGATGAGTTAGGCATTCAATTAATCTAAAAATAGGCAAACACAAGCAAGCAATTCTCTAAACTGGTACATAAACTTTTCTGAACGATTTCTCCAGACATAGAACTCAAATTTCTAAGAGCGAGTAATTCAATTTTCTTGTTTTATAGTAATTTTCGGAACTAGTACATAAATTTTCCTTAGTAATACTTAATTTCTCTTGAATAATACTTATTATAGTAATTTTCGGAACTAGTACATAAATTTTCCTGAGTAATACTTAATTTCTCTTGAATAATACTTAATTTCCTGGAACGAGTACTTAATTTTCTCATATTTTTAATACATTTTAAGAATGAGTTGATGGTTGACAACAACGAAATGACTGTAACAAAATACAACAGAGGGTAAAGTGAAGTAGAGGGTCGGATTCAAGCAACAATGGTTTGGGTCACACCAGAGACGAAGTAGAGAAAAAGATGCAATTCCCTAGGAAAAATGTGGGTCTTGGCATGCAAAACAGAGGGCTAGGGAGTTTGGTTGGGTCACATGAGAGACAAAGCAAGGAACGGTGTGAATCGGCATGGGTTTTTGAACTTCAAACAGAGAAGCGTACAGAAATGGAATTTGTTCGAGTATGGCAGCAGAGAAGCGAAAAAGATGATGGCAGCCTTGTGCACGTAACAAAGGCGAATGTGAACAGAAGCGAGGGACTCCTCTCCATCGTCCGAAATCAAGGGAAGAAGACTAGAAGTGTTCAGCTTCTGCGGTTTTCCTGCTTGCATTGAACTTCAGTTGTGGATTTTGTGATAAAGAAGAGATTGCGGTTGGGAGAGAGCTTTGGTTCGGATAGGCAGTGCGTTCGTGCGGTTTAGAACAGGGAAGAAAAATAGGCAGAACAACGTAGAGGAAATAGGAGAGATTGCATGAACAGGAAGAACAATGGAGATAATTGCGGTGGATTTTTTCAGTGATATGGGAGTTAACCCAAATAATAATAGGAAAGTCAAATATTATTGATAAAGTCATTCGGCGGTTACAACTAACACACGGAAATGACAACAACACGACACAAGACACGTAACTAGGGAGAATCTAGGGATATGGTGGTGACTTGTAGAAACTTAGAAAGGCGGCAACAAGGTGGTGGGCATACTAGAAAGAAGAGGAACAGATGTTAGAAGTGGTTCGAAGCGGCTGGTACAGCAGTGAGAAGGATTATGATGGTTGTCACAATAGTAAAGGCTGCAGGAGGGATGATTCTGGGCAGATGGCAGCAAAGAGGTGGCAAGGGGGGGTGGTTCTAAGTGGTTGGGGCAGAAGGAAAACAACAAATATGTTGTTTTTCAGATGGCGGCAGCGAGGAACGGTGATTGGGAGTGGTGCAGGACAAGTGGGGAGGGGTGGAAGCGGTTGTGCAGGGTGGCTGCGAGGTTTGGAAGAAAAACAACAAATATGTTGTTTTTCAGATGGCGGCAGTGAGGAACGGTGATTGGGACCTAAAACATCAGCGGTTGTCCAAATACAAAACTCACAAAAAAATTGAACCTAAAACATCAAAAAAACAAATACATAATAAGAGGATAACTAAGAGTGGTCCAAGGGGATCAGACGACTCCTCGAAAGGGATAAAACATGGACTATTTCGGTCAAAGCGAATCAGCCGTGCCGCGCGGAACTCCCGCACGACTGTGAGTGACCCACGTCAGTGCAGAAGACACTCCTATGTAATTCTCTTGGGATTGGGGTTCAACCTCAAATGTCAAAGCTTTTGGCTCCTTGTAGTATAATGTCAAGCTATGTAGCACCGACATTTCTAAAAAAGTATCATGCCCGTGTCAGACATGTATCAAACACCGACACTACAAAATGTGCTAAATTTTTTTCAAACCCTAACATGTCCGGATCACACCTCAAAACCGCATCGAACGTGACCTTAACACGATTTCGAGAAAATGAGACACGAGAATTAGAAAATTATAAATATATGTATAGTCTTAATTATACCTCATACTCAAAAGACTTCATCTCTGATCATGTTGAAGTTTCATCTAACATTTGTCAAAATCGAGAATCAAATATTCATCGAAGCCGAGTATTAGTAATTATCTCTTTATAATAATATTTTTTAAACTTTAATACAAACTTGAACTATAAGTTGGATGAATTCTTTGGAAATATTTTATATCTAATTTTAAGAATTAATTATCATAAGCATGAGATTGTATAATATAAATTAAATTTATGAAGTTAAATATTATTCTTGCATAATTTTTGTTGTGATGTTTTAATAAAAAAATGAAGAAAAAATATATAATTTATATTAATAATTAATTATATATAATGTTTCCATGATGTGTCGTGTCCTACTTGTTTCAATTATGCCGTCCCCGTATCATGTCGTGTCTGTGTTCGTGCTTCATACGTGTCATGTCAGTCACATTGAGGATGGAGAGGCTTTTGTAACTTCCCGGTAAATGATTAAGGCATGCATTGTAATTCCAAAACACATCCTGATATAATAAATATACATCCACTTTTGGCTAACTTGATTCGGAGTTGCATATAACTGTAGATTCTCGCAAAGTAACTCTCGATCCCTTAAGTCTGAATATTATTCTCTGACTTCTTGTACTCAACTAAATATATCTAATAAATAAGTCTGACAGAAAGAATCAACTCGGGAACATATATGGCAAGTTGGGTCATACTAAAGCATAACCACTCAGGAGAGGAAAGGACTTGGATCTCACTGTAAGATGCTTTTGTACCCAAAGATTCTTAGGCTATTTCCAACGGTATGGTTCATCCATCCTGTTTGATCATTTGTAGATGAGTACACTACTGGATCCTTATGCGATTTCCAATGTTATATGATTCATCCATCCCGTTTGATCATTTGTAGATGAGTACACTACTGAACTGATTCTAACACAAATAACTTCATATGGTGTTCTAGAAGTGGCAAAAAAGAGTATCGTCTCTAACATGTTTGACCTCCCTTGTAGGCGCAACTCAAGAAGTAGATCATATGTCTGAAAAGTCTGAAATTCTTTTATCTGGAATTGTTGTGTGTCTGATCAATTCCTCGAACTTAGGATCAGTTTAGACAGCCAATATTAATTTTGTTGGA